TGAATTCCACGATTATCTCAAGGAGTGTGGAATAGTTTCGCAATTGACGCCTCCTAGGACACCGCAGTTGAATGGTGTGGCAGAAAGGCGTAATCGAACCTTATTGGATATGGTTCGCTCTATGATGAGTCGTGCTTCACTACCTATCTTCTTTTGGGGGTATGCCTTAGAGACTGCCGCCCATATCCTTAACCGAGTCCCTACTAAGAAGGTTGCCAAAACACCTCACGAGATGTGGACAGGGAAAGCTCCCTCGTTGGCACATATCAAGGTTTGGGGTTGCGAGGCTTTCGTAAGACGAGATACTCACGACAAGCTTGAACCTCGAAGTGAGCGATGTATTTTCATCGGCTACCCGCAAACTTCCTTTGGATATCTCTTCTATAGACCGAAAGACAATGTTGTCTTTGTTGCGAGGAGAGGAGTTTTCCGAGAGCGAGAACTCATAAGCCAAGGAGACAGTGGGAGGCAAATCGAACTTGAAGAGATTCAAGAGTCGATAGATGAAGGAACCTCTACCGCTGGCATTCAACCCGAGGAGGAAACTCCGGTTGAACCGATTGACGAATCCTTACCTCTTAGACGTTCCGATAGAGTTAGAGTTCATCCCCAGTTTTATGGTTTTCATATTACTACCGAAGGGGACACGTATATTAGTGATGGTACACTAGTAAATCTTGATGAACCTAATAGCTATAAGGAAGCCATGGCAGGCCCGGAGTCTGCGAAATGGAAAGAGGCATGGATAGCGAGATCCAATCCATGTACGATAACCAAGTTTGGAATTTGGTTGATTATGTGCCCGAACGTAAGACCGTAGGGTGCAAGTGGATCTTCAAGAAGAAGACCGACGTGGATGGGAACGTACACACATATAAAGCGCGATTGGTTGCGAAGGGCTTTACTCAAACTCCCGGAGTTGACTATGATGAGACCTTCTCACCAGTTGCGAAGATTAAATCTATTAGAGTGATGCTAGCAATTGCCGCATTTCATGATTATGAGATTTGGCAAATGGATGTCAAGACCGCTTTCCTTAACGGAAAGTTGGCTGAGGATGTTTACATGGCTCAGCCAGAGGGGTTTGTGGATCCGAAGCATCCGAATAGAGTGTGTAAGCTTGAGAAGTCCATTTATGGACTTAAGCAAGCGTCTCGCAGATGGAATCTTTGCTTCGATGAGAAAGTCAAAGAGTTTGGATTTGTACGAAGCGAAGACGAATCTTGTGTATATGTCAAAGCCAGTGGGAGTATAGTAAGCTTCCTCGTTCTATATGTCGATGACATATTACTCATAGGAAACGACATCCCGACTCTGCAGGAGGTTAAGTCCTGGCTCGGGAAGTGCTTCGCTATGAAGGACCTCGGAGAGGCTTCTTACATTTTGGGAATAAGGATAGTAAGAGAAAGAAGTAAGAGACTAATTGGACTTAGTCAGAATACTTACTTAGAGAAGGTACTAAAACGTTTTAGTATGGAAAACTCAAAGAAGGGAGAACTACCGATACAAGGAAATGCCAAGTTGAGTAAGACTCAAAGTCCGAGTACCGAAGCTGAGATAGCAGAAATGAGCCGAGTACCATACGCTTCCGCAGTTGGCTCAATCATGTACGCTATGACTTGTACTCGCCCTGATGTAGCCTTCGCTTTGAGCATGGTTAGCAGATATCAAGGGAACCCTGGCAAAGCACATTGGATTGCGGTGAAGAACATCCTTAAGTACCTTCGGAGGACGAAAGAATGGTTCTTAGTCCTTGGAGGGAGTGATGACTTGAAGGTGCGAGGGTATAGTGACGCCAGCTTTCAGACCGACAGGGACAACTACCGTTCGCAGTCGGGCTGGGTCTTTACCCTAAATGGAGGAGCAGTGACTTGGAAGAGTTCCAAGCAAGAAACCGTAGCTGATTCAACGTGCGAATCAGAGTACATCGCAGCGAGCGAAGCGTCGAAGGAGGCAATATGGCTAAAGAACTTCATTGGTGATCTTGGAGTTGTACCGGCCATAAAGGAGCCCATGGAGATTTTCTGTGATAACGAAGGTGCGGTTGCCTTGACCAAGGAACCGAGGGATCATGGTAGATCTCGACATATCGACAGAAAATATCACTTCATTAGACATCGTGTAGAAGAAGGACAACTCGTAGTGAAGAGGATATCATCAGAAGATAACCCAGCAGATCCGCTTACGAAGGGACTGAGTAGGGTTAAGCACTTGCAGCATGCTAGGAGTATTGGGCTGAAGGATGATATTAGTATAGATTAGATAGTATTAGAAACGTATAATAGATAAATGTAATTAACATTTGATGATTAAATAAAGGAGTTTTATTTATGAGTAAAGTTACTGTCACATGTTAGTTGTTTAACTATTGTTTCACTTTGCATGTTTTGACTTCCAGAATAATTGAGTTTATTAGGAATAATCGAATTATTCAAATGGTCCACAATCGTTCATATGTTGGGAGTAGATATGAATGAAGATTGTCATGAATTGGTGTGTAGAATGTCTAAATGGTGTTAGACATAGCAAGGGTTGCTGCAACGTTCATGAGTGCTTATGAACTGGTTTTGAGCATTGGAATAAACCCGCGCTTGCTGGAATCACCTTATGGAATACGATATAAAAGGTGATCGCAAGACGATAATATCATATAGTCTTAAAACCTAGATATATGGTTTATTATTTGTTAATTGATTGTGCATTGATAATGCGAAAACGCATCAGTAACTTGATGTTATAAAACGCATTGTTGTGTATTGTTGGTTAATGAATAAGTAAATGCATATAAGTCGAAGTTTATCTGTAAATTTTATCCTAAGAGGGTAGAAGAGATATCTTGGCCACTCGATGATTTGATTTGACTTATGTGCCGGGCCCGGTCAGAACTAATTGATGTGTTCGATTAAGTTCTATGTCGAATAAATCGGAGATCGAGAAATTTAAATGCATGACTAACCATTCCATAGGATTGTCAGCATGATATCTAACAGAGGACTGTACGATCCCTTATCTAAAGGACAAGATTGATTAGATCAGAGTTGACAGCGTCTTTGAGAGCTACGATTGCAAACCGAATTGTACTTGTATAGTTACTAGACTTATCCAAGTGGGAGACTGTTGGAATAGTGTCTAAGGCTATAACTATATCCGGTTGTGCATGGTCCTTTTGGGTTGCCTTCACCATAGCAACTTGAAGGATGATTTGTTAAGAGAGAGTAAATATTATAAGGAATAATATATGGCTATTTGATTAATATAAGTCATAAATTAATTGGTATTAATTTGGTGACTTAAAGAGATTAATTAAATAAGAGGGTATAAACTGTCAATTGTTTGATAGTTACACTTTAGACTGTAAATCCTTATCCTAGATAGGATGGACGATTTCTAGGGCTTGGATAAGCCAAAATCGTCCATAGGGTTATCTATGGAATGGATTTGGATAGCCTTAAGAGAAGATTATCCAATTAGGGTTTAGGTGGTAACCCTTAAGGAGTCTACAAGTATAAATAGACCCTAGGGGTGAGGGAATTCGACACACAACCTAAAGCAAGGAACCTCTGGCCGAATTCCTCCCCTTTCCTCTCTCCTAAATCATCTTGCTTGCTATTGGTGTTTGTAAGCCATTAGAGGAGTGACATTTGTGACTCTAGAAGCTCCAAGACAACAAGATCAACAAGGAACTCAAAGGTATGATTCTAGATCTGTTTCATCATTGTTATTTAACCTAATTAGCTATTAGAAGTCTTGGATTCAAAGCATGTTTATTAGAAAGCCTAGATCCGAGCAATAGGGTTTTGCATGCGCACATAGGAAAGTTCTTATGGCTAAAACCCATCAGTTTCAACTTCACCTTGTCTTCAAGGTGAGCATTATTAGGGAACTTTGCATCCAAATTCTCCCAATGATGCTTTTAAAAACTGATAAATCTTTCCATTTAACAAGAATTTCATGTTGAACTTGTAGTCCTACCTCTTGATTTTGGTAGTCCTTCAATGAAATCCATATATGCTTCTTCGCATACCTACAATGGTAATTGAATTGGTTAAAGTAACCAATTCAGTTGTGCTACCATTTTATTTGAGTTGAAATTGTGCTTTTCTCCACAATTGGTGAGTATTACTCACTATTTCATATAAATCATTAAGGTTATGTTTGGTGCGCCACAACTAGCTTATTTTTCGAACATTTTTATATTGTCATGTTTGACAAGCTAAAAGATAGCTTATGAGCCAACTTTTTTAAAAAGCTACTTAGACTAGCTTTTTAAGGAGCTTTTTAAAATATTTCCAAAATATACCCCTTAATTAATTATAGAAACACATTTTTTTTAAATGGTGGTATGGTGCAGCGGACAGTCACATCCGATAGGGCTGTATGCCATAACACCCAACGAACTCGGGTTCGATCCCTCCCTGAAGAGATAACAACAATATCCTTAGAAACCATATTTCCTATTAAGAGGTTCACTGCTTTGGACATGGATATAACTCAACACCATTCCCCAGAAGGAAACCCCTTGGATGGGAAAACTAGAGTGTGCCTCTGCAGAGTTGAACTGGACTTCATTGGCATAAACACATTCTTTTAAATGCCCTTTTATGTCATTTTATATATTTTAGCTAGTTTTTCATCTTGTTTTACCAAGCGTCATTTTTTATCAGCTACCGGCTAGTTTTTCAGCTAGTACGCCAAACATAATCTAAGTAGGAGCGTGAGAGTAAGATGGAAGTAGCAGTGGATATCTATGTTATACATGATTAAAGTTATCTACAACATTCGATGATAAAAAACTTTCTAATAATCTAATAAATTACATTTATGACCTCTAATTCTATCATAAAAGGAAGAAAGGTTAATGCAATGATACAAAACAATGCATAGTAACCATTGGATTATATTGTTAATCAACGTCCACAAATCAATCAACCTGCTAACCCTCTCATTTTAACACCCTATAGCCGCCATCCTCATTTTCCTTCCTCCTCTCTTTGCTTCTCATGTCTCCCAACACAAAATCTATTGAAAATTTTCTTCCCAACTCGATTTGTTCAAGTAACAATCTATCCAAACCAAGAATGGCGAGTTACCCTTTTATGGAATCCGAATCTAATCAAGGATTCTTGAAAGATTGGATCTCTTTATACGCCTCAACTCCTTTTGAGTTGAATGATAAACGCATTCGACTTATGAACACTCCTTCAAGTGATTCTCTCAATGAGGTTCACGAAAAACCGTCGGGTAGGAAAAAAACCAATAATGTGGAAATTGATGGGAAAGTAAACATGGAGTTGTGGGGAAAAGGAAATGGTAGACGCCAATGGAGTCTTGTAGAAGACATGTATATTTCTTTTTTAGTTATGTTTTCTTTTTATAAAATTTGTCAAGTTTTATGTTCTTGAGATAAAATGTTTATTTTCAGGTTGTTGGTGCAACTAGTGTATCAATATGGAGCCAAGAATTGGTCCCGCATTGCTGAAAAGTTCCCTCTGAGAATTGGAAAGCAATGTAGAGAGAGATGGCAAAATTATTTGAGGCCAAATATCATGGTATTGATTTTTTGTTATTATTAATAAATTATGACATCAATTATTTAATTTTTCATTTTGTTTTTCATATGTTTTTGTTCCATGAATGATGAATCGTATAATCAAGAAAATAGCGTCTTTTGTTGATGTTATATAAAACTACATTATTTTACAAACACATTAGTCTAAAGCGTTAGTTACTGTTTGGTATAGCGGAATAAGAGAAAAATGGAATTGTACATGTTACATTGGAAAATGGAATGGAATGGACTATTCCAGAAGGAATGTGATTCCTTCCATTTTGTTAATTTTCATTGTTTAGTCGGTTGGTGATTTTGTTTTGGAAAATGTTAAAAATAACCAAAAAATTATTCTGTTTGTCCAGTTTTAGTCATTCAACTTATTTTTGTCTACTTTTAGGTAATATGAACTTTTCAAAATCGTCTAATTTTAGCCATTCAATTTATTGTTCTCCACTTTTATGTAATATGAACTTTTCAAAACCGTCTAGTTTTAGCCACTCAACTTATTTTTTTCCACTTTTAGGTAATATGAACTTTTCAACATCATCTAGTTGTAGCACTCAAGTTATTTTTCTCCACTTTTAGGTAATATGAACTTTTCAAAACCATCTAGTTTTAGCCACTCAACTTATTTTTCTCCATTTTTAGGTAATATGAACTTTTCAAAATCACCTAGTTTTAGCTACTCAACTTAATTTTGTCCACTTTTAGGTAATATAATTTTTTTCAAAACCATCTAGTTTTAGCCTCTCTACTTATTTTTCTCCATTTTTAAGTAATATGAACTCTTCAAAATTGTTTAGTTTTAGCCACTCAACTTAAGTTTCTCCACTTTTAGGTAATATGAACTTTTCAAAATTATCTAGTTTAAGCCACTCAACTTATATTTATCCACTTTTAGATAATATGAACTTTTCAAAACCGTCTAGTTTTAGCCACTCAACTTAAGTTTCTCCACTTTTAGGTAATATGAACTTTTCAAAATCCTCTAGTTTTAGCCACTCAACTTAAGTTTCTCCACTTTTAGGTAACATGGAATTTTCAAAACCGTCTAGTTTTAGTCACTCAACCTATTTTTCTCCACTTTTAGGTAATATTAACTTTTCAAAATCGTCTAGTTTTAGTCACTCAACTTATTATCTCCACTTTTAGGTAATATGAACTTTTCAAAATCGTCTACTTTCAGCCACTCAACTTAAGTTTCTCCACTTTTAGGTTATAGGAACTTTTCAGAATCGTCTAGTTTTAGCCACTCAACTTATTTTTCTCCACTTTTAGGTAATATGAACTTTTCAAAACCGTCTAGTTTTAGCCACTCAACTTAAGTTTCTCCACTTTTAGGCAATATGAACTTCTCAAAATCGTCTAGTTTTAGCACTTAACTTATTTTTCTTCACTTTTAGGTAGTATGAACTTTTCAAAACCATCTAGTTTTAGCCACTCAACTTATTTTTCTCCACTTTTAGGTAATATGAACTTTTCAAAATCGTCTAGTTTTAGCCACTCAACTTATTTTTCTCTACTTTTAGGTAATATGAACTTTTCAAAACCGTCTAGTTTTTGCCACTCAACTTAAATTTCTCTACTTTTAGGTGATATGAACTTTTCAAAATCGTCTAGTTTTAGTCACTCAACTTATTTTTCTCCAATTTTAGGTAATATGAACTTTTCAAAACCGTTTAGTTTTTGCCACTCGATTTATTTTTCTCCACTTTTAGGTAGTATGAACTTTTCAAAATGGTGTAGTTTTAGCCACTCAACTTATTTTTCTCCACTTTTAGATAGTGAACATTCTAAAAGCATTTATTTTAGTCATGTAAGTAGGTAAGGGCTACAATCGGTTAAAGGGACTAAAACTATACGATTTTGAAAGTTTTATATTACCTAAGAGTGGACAAAAATAAGTTTAGTGACTAAAAGTGGACAAAAATAATTTGAGTGGGTAAAAATAGACGATTTTGAAAAGTTGATATGACCTAAAACTCGACAAAAATAAGTTGAGTGTCTAAAAGTGGTCATACATAATATTATCTATTGTTATATTTGTTTGTGTTTTAGTGAGAAGGGCATTCATGTCTTTTTACATAAAAAAGATTATTTTCGATGACATAATGGTGAATGACATTCATGTCTTTTTCACAGACAAGACTCCCACTTTTTTTGGAGGAACAAAATAATGCAAATTTCAAATTGTTTGATCCAAAAGGCACTCCAATGCATGCCAACACAGTACAATCTGTCTTGACTTGAGTGGGCCCTAGTAGCTTTTTGTATATTAACTCTTTATTCTCCTTTTTCTTTTGTAGAAAAATGCATGGACCGAAGAAGAAGACAAGTTACTAATTTCATTACACCAACAATTCGGCAACAAATGGGCAGATATAGCAAGAAGGATGCCAGGAAGGACAGAAAACAACATAAAAAATCATTGGAATGCTACAAAAAGAAAACAATTTTTAAACAAGAATCATGAAAAGACCAAAACCCCCTCCCTTTTAAAAGATTACATCACAAGAATTACTTCTTCCTCTTCACCCAATCATCAAATCAACATCCAACAACCACCATCCCTGGTGGTGGACCACACAACAACTGATTCCGTGGTTGGTTATAAGCCTGCTGAGCTGGCGCCTGATGAAAGGGATCTTGATTTTCATTTTGATGATGTGTCATCTCAATTGGTTGCTGAGTTAGTGTTTGATCCAACAAAGGAGATGGATTTTCTGAAATTATTCTGTCAATAGTTTAATTGGTGGGTTTTGAATTCGGATTTTCTGAAAGGAGATGTGTCATCTCAATTGGTTGATGAATTGTTGTTTTTATTGGAATTATGAACTTGATATGAATTGAGTTTAAATTAGACAATTTGTTTTTGGAAGGAATTTACCTTTCAAAGAAATTGGAATCTAAAATAATTGGGAATTTGAATGAAGTTTGAATATTTTTTGGAATTTTTCTTTATATATAAAATAATTATCAATAGTTATCTTTGAATAGTTATCGATAGAAATTTGTACATAATTTATAACATAACATAATGATACAAATTTCCATAAAGAATTGACATACAACTTTTAAAAGTTGATGATATTTTCATTATGATTATAGATTGATAGATCTCGTCAAATTCCTCTTTATAATCTTATTTCAGATGTTTTTATATTTAAGATCTCTTACTTTAATCATCTATTGAGATTTAATCTAAAGCATCAAATTGGTAAATGTGATCAATGCAGGTAATGTAGAAAAAGGAACACATAAACAGATAAAAACAACTTTATAGTAAATTTGTATATACATATATACATGCATAAAACGACAAGTAAAAAAGACAAGTTCTAGTAAAGTTCATATATATATTCGGTTTAAAGTGAGAAAAAAGGCAAGTTCTAGTAAAGTTCACATATATTCGGTTATAATGTTGCAATTACAACATATTATGCTTCTGGAGTTATTATGGTTGAAGAAAGAAAAACCAAATGATCAGAATGAAGTACTAATCTTGAGAATTCGTTTCAACCCAACAACAAAATACACTTCAAAATACAAACTTCAATGCAAATTATAAGATTCAATGGAGATTGATTAAAGACCTGATTTGTAACACATGTTAAGTGTGAAGTACATGAAATGTTGTTTTGACATACAACTTTTAAGAGCATCACCAATCCAATACTAAACTCATACTTTTACACTATAGTGTACTCCGACCCAACATTAAACCTAACACCGAATATAGTATTTATGAATAGTTAAACACCAAATATAGTGTTATACTATTATTTATTAACATTAAAGTCATCTAACATGTATTGAACTTATTAGAGTTTAATGAATTGACACATCAATATTTTACATTTCATATAACTTACATTAATTTTCCTACAATATATTAAACTCTATAAAATTCAATGAAATATATTTTTAATAATTAATAAGTTTCTTTTTTCCCATTAAAAATTTAAGTGGTCATGAACTTCATATCCATTGAATGCTCACATGACATCCCACAATGATAGAGTTTAATTTATTGAATGACATTAGACAAGTTATCCCATTCAACTCTTCTATTAAACTATACATTATAGATGTTCTAACTAAATATAGTTTTGTAGTTTGAATGGTACAAATTGGTCCTTCAATTTTGAACTTATTTATTTATAGTTTATTTGTTATATAATTATAATCTATATTTTTATCGTGTGTTATTCTATTTAATAATTTAAAATGCAATATAAAATTAAGGGTTAATGTCATAAAGACCCTCAATTTTTTAGAGTTTTGTCGGTTTTGCCTAAATTTGAATTTTATGTCCGTTTTTACACTAACATTTTTTAAAAAATGTTCGGTTTTACCCTTTTACCGGTAATAACATGTTACCATTATATTAACTTCGCAAAAAACCATTAAGTCTACGGGTTTTTTTTTTTTTTTATTATTTTTTTTTTACCTTTTTACCTTTTTACCTTTAAGTTTATAATTTTTTTTACACTTTTACCCTATGTGTTTTTTTTCTTCATATTATACGAATTCATGCAAAAAAATCATATTTATATACGAATTTTTTTAATTAAATATTGTATTTACATTTTTTTAATGTTATTTCTTTATATATATATATATATATATATATATATATATATATATATATATATATATATATTTGTGTGTGTATGTGTGTGTATAGGTTTTTTTCTTGGATAAACCATTTAAGATGTAAAAAACATATTATTATATCTTTAGAACTACAAATACGTATTTTTATGTATTTAAAAATACACATATCAATAAAAAAAACTTGTTCAATTATAAACATGTTTACATACGTGTGTGTGTGTATATATATATATATATATATATATATATATATATATATATATTATGTTTTTATAAGTATAAATATATTTTTGGAAGTATAGATACATATTAATATATAAAAATGTAAAAATATGTATTTATACTGCTAAAAACTATATCTATAAAACACGTATTCATAATTCTAAAAATATTATTTATCTTTTTAAATGGTACAACCTTACAAAAATACACACACACAAACAAATATATATATATATATATATATATATATATATATATATATATATATATATATGTATGTATTAAAAAATATATAAATACAATATTTAATTAAATATTTTTTCGTATATAAATAAGATTTTTCAGCATGAATACGTATATTATGAATAAAAAAGTACTTAGGGTAAAAGTGTAAAAAAATTAAATTAAGGGTAAAAGCGCAAAAAAAAAAAAAAAGGTAAAATTAACGGTTTTGATTTTTATTTTTAATTTTTTTTAATTTTTATTTAATTTTTTTTTTGCAAATTTAATATAATGGTAACCTGGAAAACCTATTATACCCGGTAAAATCGTAAAACCGAACAATTTTTTGAAAATGTTGGATAAAAATGGACATAAATTTCAACTTTGGGCAAAACCGATAAAATCCTGAAAACTTGAGGGTTGTTATGACATTAACCCTAAAATTAAACAACATTGATATTTATTAAATAAATTTTCACAAATGGTCCGTATGGTTTTGATTTTGTCTCCAAAACAATCATGATATATATATATATATATATATATATATATATATATATATATATATATATATATATATATATATATAGAGAGAGAGAGAGAGAGAGGCTTAATGTCTCTTAGGAACAAATCATGCATACCAGTGATTGTTTTAGTTTAAATTTTGTTTCACTTCTGATCATTTTGATTAAATTTGTTAAAGTTTTCTAGTTAAACCAGTGTGAAATTATTTTTTTTAATTTTAATTATAATTTTTTGTTATTTAACAAAGAAATGGGTCCACTACTTATCCCCATCCCACCGCCTCCTTATTTCTTTTTTCCTTCAACCCTCCGACCATCTCTCTTCCCTCTCACCCTTCCGTCTCATCAATATTGAAGATTAGGTGTGAAAATGAATCAATTGATACAAACTCCATCTTCTTCCCCATTATAATCTCTCACTAGATATGAATTAAAGAAGACTGGCCCCACCACTATACACCCCTCCCCCTTGTTGCCTTCTTGCAATCCACCTCCCACATTCGGTACAACTGGTACAACCACCTCTGGCAACAAAAAAAAGGAATGACAATAGAAAGTCATGGGCAGTATTGGATTTACGATATTGCTTAAATTAGTCATATAATATAGTTAGTTATATTAGTGTTATTATGGATTAATTGTAAATTAAGGATAAATATGATACAAAATTGTCTATGATAATAATGGTCAAAATCCGGAGATAAGGTTGATAAGGTTAAAAGGAAAAGAATGGAGCTAAATATGGAGTCGATAAGGATCAAATTCGAAGTATCATAAAAGATGCGTTTAGCGTTACGAAAGATAAGGTATAGTGACACAAAGTAAGCCTTTACTTTGGGAATAATCTATGAATATCATGTTTAGCGACATGAAGACGAAGGTTTAGCACCGCTAAGTAATATTTCCTATAAATACAAGATTTTCACATCCTAAAAAAGTTTGCACAAAAAGAAACTTTCTTAGGTGTGATAAATAACCCTTTATTTCATCCTACTAAAGGAAAAAGAAGTTGCAAATGTGATAATTTAAAGAATTGTTAAAGAAAGTATTATGTTGCAATCTTGAGCATACTTTTTTATTTATTATTTTTCTTTTTTCTTTTTTCTTTTTGTTCTTGTATTTGTTTTTGTATTTGTTTTTGTTTTGTTTTGTTTTTTTTTTTTGTTTTTGTTTTTTTTTTTTTTTTTTTTTTTTTTTTTTTTTTTTTTGTAAACATTAAAGGCTAAGAACCTTCTCTTCCATTTAAATGTAGATGAACTAAAGTACTTGTTGGTGATTTATTGAATCAAGTACACAAACAATAGGTAACAAGATTATCAAGAGATATAGTGAACATGTATCCTCGAATCTATGTTTTATGAGCACCCCTTTAATGGAATCAAACCCATAACACCAAAAAAGCAAAATGATATAAACCAAGCTAGGGTTTATTCAAAAATCACAAACCCTAGGAGAGAGGATGTGATTATCATCGAAGGAGAGAGAGAGAGAGAGAGAGAGAGAGACAGAGAGACAGAGGTTAGACAATTTTTTACAAAAGGATAACTTGCTCTAGGGTTTATCCTAGTAGACTATTTATAGTTAGGTAAGGAGTCTTCCAAAAGGATACAAACTCTAGAGTTAACCCTTATCTAACAGAAGGCTGCCATATCCATATCTAAGGGATACATAAATTACCCCCTATGTCTCAAGTAGGTTCTAGAATATTCCATTTAATCCTTTGGATTAATTAATGTTAAACCTATTTAATAAATTAAATCATTTTAACTAATTACCCAAATAATTTCTAATTAATTTATTAATTCCTTAATAATTAACACATTAATATTAATCTCATTTTCCTTATGCTATTTGGTCATGAGGCTAACTCAAAATAACTCTGTTATTATTAGAAATATTATCAAAACAGCTAATGACATTGGACACTATTTCCATTAGTCAAGTCACAAACTTTTTAGGATCAAAATATTTCGCTAACAATCAACAGAGAGTAGTCATCTATAAACTGCCAAACTCTAATTAAAAATAAAATTTAGGACTTAAAATAGTGATCAATTATCCACTTGTTCTAGATATCTCTATGAACATGAGTCATGGATATAAGTTAATCTCAATGTTCAACATTCTGTTTCCCAGTGAATGATTTATGACATTACATC